TGCACAAAGTCTTCTACAATGCGCCCGAAGATGAGCGACAGAAGATGCTTTTCGTCATGCACGAGGACTTTCCCAGTTCTAGTGTGGCCTTGCACCTGTGGAACTGTGACGTGACGCCCAAGGAGGCNGTTCGTCATGCACGAGGACTTTCCCAGCTCTAGTGTGGCCTTGCACCTGTGGAACTGTGACGTGACGCCCAAGGAGGCGATCGAGTGGACGCTGGAGCTGGCGAAAGCAGCCGAGTGGCTCAATGTCACCGGTGTGGCGCATCGGTTCATTCGCCCGGAGAATGTGCTGCTCAGTGGAGAGGGCAATGTCCTCCTGGCTGGCTTCGACGCTGCCGTCAGCTTCTACAAACTGGCCAATGACCGAGAGGGGGAGAAGTTCATCCTCCAGGAGCCAGGCTTGCCACGAGAGATTCCCTTTGAGCTGTGGGACCACCTGCCGGCGGAGTGCTTCGACAAGCCCTATGACCCGCAGTTTGTGGATTCGTGGAGTATTGGCGTACTGCTGTGCACCATGCTCACTGGCAGCCATCCCTTTGAGGTGGACATGGCTAAGCTGTCCACTCAGGCAGCCTCTCTGCCGCAGCAGTGGAGACAGTCCACTGAGCGGGCCAATGTGCCGTACGAGGGAAAGGACGACGACGCACTGCGCTCCCTTCTCGATGACATCTTCCAGCCTGCCGAACAGCGAATGATCACCTTTGACATGATACGCGACATTAGACTGCTTCGCGTCATCTCGCCCTCTAAGGCTCGCATTGGACCGGGGGTGTACTACCGCATTGACAATGTAAGTGCTCTGTGGTGATGACTGCCGTAACGTTTTTAGGCAATGATAATTACTTTTTGAAACCTTTCTCACAGCACCCTCACAACCCACCCCAGTCAGCTGGTGGCAGCACCATTGTTCAGGCAGTGAACTCCTACAATACGTCACTGCTCAGCACCGACTGTAGGGCAATGTTTGAACAGAAGAAGTGGCATGTGAACATCAAATCGGAGGAAGCACTTCGACAGCGGACAAACGGCACCAGCTACGAACTACTGCGCAATGCCTCCTTTGGCAGCAGCTTTGCAGTCTTTCGTGAGCCCTTCCTCGCGGCGGCCTCTCTCGATGAGGCCGGCAACCGAAAGGGCTTCTTTCTTGCCAAGATCTTTCTCATCAGCCGGCTTTCACCCAAGTACGGCAGCATTCTGCGTGTGGAAAGCAGCAAGATCATGCATTACCTTGGCGCTCACAACACCATACCAACTCTGCTTCGTGCAGTGGACATCTTCTTTGCCCCATCAAAATCTGCCTTTAAAGTGATCATCTTTTACGCGAATGAGTTGCTGAACAGCAAATCACTGCATCAACTGACCATGGAGAAGGTGTTTGAGGGTGCCCAGCGCAAGGACACCTTTGACAGTATCATGCTCCAGTTAGCGGAAACAGTGCAGGCATTGGCCTACCATGGCGTCTCTCATCGCTACCTTCGTCCAGAGTTCATCTTCTACACTAGTTCTCGCATCATCAAGGTGACCAACTTGGAGATGATGTGCTTTGCCTTAAATCCAATAGAAGGCAAGTCAATTCCCCGCTCAAAGGGATTGCACGATGACCAGGAACAAAACTGGACACACCTTCCTCCAGAATGCTTTTTCGAACGCTATGACTGCCTGCTGCTGGACGTCTGGAGCTACGGAGTTGTGCTGGTTTTTTGCCTTACTAAACGGATCCCCTTCAAAGTGCCTCACACTATTATCGAAGCTACTAAAGTTTGGAGTAAGTTCAATCAGGGAAACGCCTCTACATTGGCACCGTTCAGTGATCTTCTAAAAAAGATTTTCCAATCAACGGAAAATCGTATTAAAGGCAGCGAACTAGTTCAATGGTATAATTTACAGCGAATGAAAAAGAAAAAGGCCTCAGATAAATCATCTTCAATTGGCGGCAAACCTACAAGTAAAAAGTAATCAAAGGAAGAGCTTTTTTGTATCAAACATTTATTTATGATAAGTTATAAAAGTGGTTTAGTTGTTGCAAAACAATTCCTGCCTATGTTACATACATTTTTTTATTAATTTTTTTTTAAATTGTAACAAAACAAAAAACAGTTTGACAAAACTTGACAGGAAGACAACAAAAGTAGCAAAGTGAATATTGCTAACAATGAATTGTTTATGTACAAAAGAAAAAATAGAAAAAGAGGTTTACCTGAAAAAATAAACAACAAAAGTACAAAGTTACATTAGTAGTTTTTCTGCCTGATCTCATTTGCTAGTCCACCAAAGAAACCCTTCTTAAGCAGCCCGGTCAGTCGATGACCGCGTGAAGATAGACCAGTGTTTGGTTGTCTTTGTTGTCTGTTTCCAGCGTATTCGTTTTCAGTTTGCTGCTCTATCCTTTCACCTCCGCCTACTCCATGGCCCATAGCTGTTCGGTTCGAGTTGTTTGGAGGTGGCGAGTTTTGTGGGGCGTCGATGCTTCGCTTGGAGTTGGAGTTAGGGTTGAGGTAGAGGGGCTCACTGACTGGCTTTAGCTCGACTGCCTTTGCGTAGACATCTTTATCATTAAGGGCACTGAGCACTTGCTTCACTTGAGGGTGATTGAGAGTTTTTGCCTTCAACGCCGACTTGTCGTCATCCCAAACAACGGAGTTGGCTGATCCGTACGCCTGCTGGTTGGACTGCACTGAATTGGCGTACCCACCTGGCATGTTTCCCGAGGCTCGAGCTGTCTTCTTGTGGTGATCAGCCGCCGACATTGCCTCAGAGACAAGCTCTTTGATTTTAGACAGCGGTATGCCGCCCACGTACATTTCCTGGCCATCTTCTCCCGTCACCGTTGCAGGAACCACTGCCTGGGGAATGGATGCAGCTGCAGCGTATCCTTGCCCACCAGAAGGCCCACCAGCTGGGCCATCGTAGCCGCCACCACTAGCGCCGACATTTCCGCCACCTCCTTCCCCTCCTCCGTTATAGCCAGAGTTTGATGATCCACCAAAATTATTTCCGCCTTCACTGTAGCCAGCATTACTGCCTCCAGATGATGATGAACCGCCTCCTGATGGGCCATCGTAGGAGCCAGAGTTTCCTCCTCCTCCGCCGCCTCCAAAGTTGCCACCAGCATTTGCTTCATTGTAGTTTCCTCCCGCTGGTCCATCAAAACCACCGCCTCCACCCCCACCAGCCGGACTTTCATAGCTTCCTCCCAAGTTGCCACTACCCCCACCGGAACCGCCATTATAGCCTCCGCTATTTTCGCCGCCACCTCCTCCAAACGATTGGCCAGATTGAGCACCATAGCCTGATGAGCCGGATCCTGCAGGGCCATCGTATCCTCCAGAGCTTGATCCAAAGCTGCTTCCCCCGCCATTGTAGCCGCCATTGTTGTTTCCAAAATCGCCTCCATTTCCACCGCCGCCTCCTCCACCAGATGAACTTTGATAAAAGCCAGAATTTCCTTTGCCACCACCACCGCCTCCTCCAAAGTTCCCACTTCCTTGATTTTCATATCCACTTCCGCCAGATGGTCCGCCTGACTGACCTCCGCCATATCCGCCTCCGCCTCCGCCTCCGCCAAAACCTCCGCCATTGTCTTGGTTATATCCGCCACCACTTCCTCCTGACGATTGGCCTGATTGACCGCCGTATCCTGATGAACCGGCTCCAGCAGGTCCGTCATATCCACCTGAGTTTGAGCCAAAATTGTTTGCGCCTCCATTGTAGCCGCCACCGTTTCCCCCAAAATCTCCTCCACTGGCTTGATTATAACCGCCGCCTCCGTTTCCTCCAAATGATTGAGCACCATATTCTGAGGATCCAGAGCTAGAACCAAGGTTGTTTAAACCGCCATTGAAGCCTCCACCATTGTTTTCATAGCCACCTGATGATCCACCGGCATTTGAGTTTCCGCCACCATTTTCATAGCTTCCACCTGAATTGAAGTTGCCTCCGCCACCGCCTCCACCATTTTCGTATCCAGAGTTGCCATTTCCCCCACCTGCTGGTCCGTCATATCCTCCAAAATTTGATCCGCTGCCCGAATTGGCATTGTAGTTTCCATTGTCACCTGCACCACCATAGCCTCCTCCTTCATTTCCACCAAAATTTCCACCTCCTCCTCCTTCGTTGTATGCATCGTTTCCACCATTGCTGTTGAATCCTCCACCAAAACTGTTGTCTCCGCCGTTGTAACCGCCTCCGCCGCCTCCATTTGAATTTTCATATCCACCGGAACCAGAATTTCCGGAGTTTCCGTCGTAGCCACCACCGCCGCCGCCACCACCTCCCGAACCGCCATAATTACCCATGGTAAGTCCGCCATAATCAGCGCCTTCATTGTAACTTCCTTCGTCGCCTCCTTGATTTTCTCCGTAACTATCGCCTCCGCCTTGATTTTCATTGTATCCGCCGCCACCACCACCACCACCCCCTTGATTTCCTCCATAACCTCCTCCACCACCACCACCACCTTGATTTCCACCATACCCGCCGCCGCCTCCTCCGCCACTCTGATATCCTCCACCACCGCCACCGCCATTCTGATATCCACCGCCGCCGCCGCCACCACTCTGATACCCTCCGCCGCCTCCGCCACCACCTCCTCCTCCATTTTTATACATCGAACCGCCACCGCCTCCTTTTCCTCCGCTTTTTCCATGTCCTTTGCCTTTGCCTGTGTTAGAAGACAAGTTTAAAATAATAGTTGCACAAAAGAAATGTGTTAGAAGACACTTACCGCCGCCACCGCCACCGCCGCCGCCACTGGAAGCAACCGCTTTCATGAGCAGCATTGCAAGTTCATGCTCGCCCATGTACTTCTTCACTTCTCTTTCGACGTGTTTATCACCCAGACCAGGCATGACTGACATCTTCATCATACGGCCACGACCACACTTGGGCTTACAGCTGCCTCCGCCACCGCTTTTCCCGCCGCCCATCATCGAGCCAAGACTGCCGAGGAGGCCATTCAGCATTGAAAACTTATTCTTCAGCATACCACTGAAGTCAATAGAGGGCATTTGAAAGGAGGCACTTGCTTCAAGATCACTGGGCGTTTTCATTTTGTTTTTCAGTCGAGATGGCTTTATGGTTCCAGCATTTTTGCTAACACTCACCGGTATCGGGACTTTTAATGGTTTGGTGGCTGAAGACGAAGCAATGGCGGTTATCTCTGAAATGATAGGTTTTGCTTTTGCAGAACCCGCTTCAGAAAGTGTGCTGTAAGAAAGTTTAAAAAGTATTAGAGGCATTTTTTAACTAAAAAATATATTTTTAACTAAATTAGCTGCAAAACCAGCATAGACTTTTTTAAAATCAGATTTTTCAAACGATAAAACAGTGACAAATAAAAATTTGTTTTGAAATAGCTTACATGACCGAACAAGTAGTCATTATTTCAACATTGTCTGCAAGTGCTAAAAGGGCAAGATGTGCATCTGTTGTGATTGTTGTCCCTCTATCATTCATTTTCTGACACTTTCATCGTGTAGAGTAGCACTTTTGGAGTAAAGACGACGCAAAAGAAGCCGTCATCACAAACGTTGACGCTGTGCTGTTGTTTTGTGTTTTAATTAGTAAAATGTAAATGTAAATAATTAATGAAACAGACAGTAACGGCTAATTATAGGTGAGAGTGCAGAGAGTACAAACGGAGAGTGAACTCTGCTGACTCTGTTAACAAGTTGCACCAAAGATAGCACACACTGGGCGCAGTGACGGGTAATTGCCATTGCATGATGCTGTAGCTCTTCCCGGCAGGTGAACAGAGAAGGGAAGATGATGGCAAATTAAAAAGTAAAATTGCAAAGAGAAAGGGAAAACTAAAGTTGGTGTCACTGCGGCGGTCCTCTGCGAAGAGTGCACCAACATCAGATGATGCTGAGCAGAAATTCTACTGAATGAACTATACTCAAACTCTAATGGGGCTACTCTAACTGTCTTAGTTTAACAGGTGAGAACTCGGTAGCAGTGGTGGTGGTTGTTGTGGTCTCGGTGACAGTCTGTTCTGGGAATGGGCAACTACTAGTAGCAAATTACATTAGCAATGGGGCATTTTAGCTGTTCTTCACTAAACACAGAAAATGGAAGCCTGCATGACTGAAGTTTGTCAATTGTCTACTGTCATCATTAATTTTGCTATCTTCTTTTTATGCAGTAGAGAAAACTTAATTTAGAAGCAACAAGTGCGTTTTTAATTCTTTAAACCTTTTAGCAACGTCGATTTTTAGAAAAAAAAAGTATTTACAAAACTGTTAAAATTTTGAGCAATACTGTTCACCGTTAGTTTTCAAACTAAAATTTTATTTATTATGTATAATTTGTCTGAAATATAGGTTAATAATATAATTCATACTTCCTACTTCAACTACAGTCATAGCAGGGCTTTCTCGTATAACCTAGTAGTGACAAATACTTAGTGATGAGCAATAAAACATGCAAATGTTGTTAAGCAATAAAACTTTACAAAAAAGGCACGTCTAACTATGCTTTGTTTTAAAAACTGTTGTATTTTTAGATCATTTTATCTTTGTAAAAAAACTAAAAAATACATTTTAGAATTAATGACATTTTAACTAAAAACAATTTTAAAAGTTGAATAAAAAATGTTGTTGCTGTCAATGCTTTATTTTTAAAACTTTACAAAATAAATAGTGTTTAGAAGTTTAATAAAAACCCAAATGTAACTTACAGTTTGCCGTTGATCAACGGAGACGAAATTACAGGCAAAATAGGCAAAATTTTAGGATCTCTCAAATTGCTCACGGGCACTACCTCACTGGTGCCAACTCCTTTGGTGATGGTCAAGTATTTACTGGGAATCCAGCCGGTGTTTGACGTAAAGTTTGCAGCATTTAGGAGAAAAGTGGGTTTACTGTTGACTGAAGGAACTGCTGCCGTTGCCACTGCAACCGCATTGGTTGCCACAGGAATGAGAGAGGTGAGAGGATGCACCCGAAGAGGAGTTAGGTGAGCTGGGGCAGGTCGTTGATGGTAGTGCTGATGTACTGGCTGACTGGCGCAAACCGGCAGTAGTGCTGGCCCCAAGAGGAGAAGAAAACACAGAAAGAGCAAACACTGATGAGGTAACTGTTGGGTGCTGAGGGAAATGTGCACTCCAGGCGGACGTCGTCCCCAACGGGACTTTGGCACTAGGTGATTGATCATGGTAGTGCTCATAATCGACTGGCAGTAGGGTGATAAGCTCTGCTTAGCACTGCTTGGGGACACGCATTGGAAACAGCGGTATTAGTGATGGGGAAGGCGACAACTCCGGAAATAGGTGTGAGAAGCAGTGAAAGGATAAAGCACACGTTGATTGAGAGGTGAATAAATGACGTGTGAAAAAATAAATATATTAAAAAGGAAAACTAAACGCGATAAAGCACCGGTATTAATACAACGAGTGGGAAGATCGCATCAACAGTCAACTGCTGTCCGTGTCGTATAACGGCGGAAAATCAATTCTACTCAACTGTTCAATTGAAAGTGAGGCTTATATATGAAGAAGAAAGCATCAATCGATGGAAGAGACTGCCCGTCTAACTGCTGATGCTGCGGCTGTTGCAGCAACTGAAGAAGAAGAAGATTTCACAATGGAAGAGAACATCTACAAGCCATACAGTTCAACGGCAGTGAGCATGGGGCAGTGAGCAAATACAAGTAAAGTGAAGTGCTGTGCTCAGACGAAACGGTGAAAGCGAATCTGTTTGCCCGACGGACTCTCGAATCGTCTTCATTTGAAGAGTAAAAGGAAAGAAAGGAAAAAGAAAGAAGAGAAGAGCCAGTCTCAAAGAAAAGGCGGACGGCACTTTTGGCCAGTGCTCACGTTGCTCGGTGTTGATGCTGTGTTGATGCTGAAGATGAACACGAAGACGACGAACTGGCAGATGAAAAATGGTGGTGGTAGTGCTGGACTGCTACAGTGAGGAAGTGATGATGCCAGATGAAGAGGGACGCAGGAGAGAACGACAACCAAAAAGACGATTACCGTTCGCTCTCACTCGACGACCGTTGCATTGTGTTTAGCAGTCGTCGTGGTGGTGGCGGTGGTGGTGATTACCAAGAAGTAGTGAAGAGTGAACTGCGACAGTGAGATGCTTCAAATGCGCTCCCTTTCCCTCTCTCACTCACTCTAGAAAACGGGTAAAGGGCTGGATGGAGAATCGGAGTGCTGACAAAGATAGAAAGTGAGAGAGAAAGCCCCTGAGCAGTCGGCAATGAGGAGGCTGAGGTTTGCGCTGGTGTTCATCTGATGAGGGAGATGAGCAGTGTTGATGATGGCACGAGGGCACAAGGAAGGAAGGAGGTGACCGTTGAATGGCAAAAGAAAGATGTAGGGCAACTTTTCGGCAACTACGAATGTGGCAACAGCAATGACGGCGAAGAAAAGAAGAAGAAGTGGTTTATCTCTAATGATGACCACAGGCTGGGGGCACAGGTTAAAGAGAATGTGTGTTTTGCCACAGCCACCACCAAATGAAAGTGCCCTAGCGCTAAACGCATTGTAAAGAGGGACAAACCTAACGAGCATCTGGTTAGAAAGGTAACTGAAAGCGCCTAAAGTTCAGTCATCGTACGTCCAGCAATGATCTACTAATGGACGAACGCGAACAATGGACAGAGCAATGCTTTGTGCACTGCTGCCAGTGCAAGTGGTCTGTTCGCGTACAATATGATTGACATCAATTAGAAAGATGAGCTAACTGCCGACTGTGTTTGAATTATATTTCAATTGGAAATGCGATAAAAATTATTTTCTCATTAACTGCTTTAGTGAGTGTGTATCTGTATTTAGAACACTGTAATATTATTATCACAAATAATAATTATGCAAGCTGTTGATGTAAAAGTAGGATAAATAGAAAGATGGATAGATGAGTCTGTGCGATGAACAAAGATTGATTCAAACTGTTTCTTTTCAAGTAAAGAGATATGGGTGAAGTTTAATTGGACAATCAAATTGAGTGATATACGCTGGTCAAAAGATATAAACTACTAGGTCAAGGAAAAAGAATCTACTTGAACGGTTTACATCATTGAATAAATTGATGTTTTTTTAAAAACAGTTAATAAAAACTAAAATTGCTATTAAATAAATTTTTTCTCTAAAAAATGTCATACAAATTGTGATAAATTGAAAAACAACAGGTAACAGTCTCAACAACAGAACATATAAACAATCTGGTTTAGTGCTGCCAGCAGACAAAATTAATATTTGAAGCACACTCAAACACTTTGCTGACCTCTCCTTACCCACAAAGTACTACGGCCATCTTGTTTATATGTTTATCAATTTGGCCATCCATTCTCCTCCTCATCGTTATCCCATCCTTCTCATCATCAACTTTTGCTTTACTGCACTCATATTTCACCAAAGTGCATTTTTCAAAAACTCGTCCTGCCCGTCTCGGACTTGGTGCGTTCATTATTTGCTTGTGTTTGTTTTTCAGAACGATACTGCACTGAGTTTTTTTATATTTTTGTACTTCTTTGCCAAAACACACTCACATATACATTGTCGATTATAATCAAAATGGCAAACGAACTCTACGTAGTATGCATGGCTATTTTATGCAAATTATCTTCTTGTTCTGTGACGGAAAAGAAAGAAACCGATCTATTCGGATGCTATTTTTTTAATACTCTACTCAGCAGACGGCACGGCACATTATTTGCAGGTCAGAGATGAATGTCGATATGTGTGAATTGACATGCTTGAGGAAAACAGAAAATATTGTCTAAAAGTGCAGACAATTTTGTAGAAAAGAAAACAGAGAACAGAAATGTAGAATAAAAATCAACAGGGGTCGTAGTTAGGTTTGGCCTTTGAACCAACTTTCTATTAACGTTAACTATTAATCAGTCAGCCTGACTGAGTTTGTGAATGCATAATTAAATTGTTTTTAAATAAAACACTATAACAAAAAATAAATTTTGTAAAAAGGTATAAATAAAAGTTGAGTGCAAAATACTATGTTTCTAAAATGTGATGAGAATTTTAAACTTTTACATTTAAAGAAAATAATAAAATATTTGCCTTATATAAATAAAAATAGTATTGTCAATTTATTAGTTTATTTAAAATTTTGAAAAAACAAAACGTAAAACTAGCTTTTAGCTTTAATCCTATGCTGCATATTTGCATACATCATAAATAATCTATTTTACAACAAACAAACTTTCACTTCCTATTTTGAAAATTTTTTTATTTTTTTGTTAGTTTTAAAAAACGTGCACATTTATTTTTCAGTTAGTGATATCGCAATAAGGTATTTTGTGTAATTGAAATTAATTAATAAAATTAAAATCATTTGACAGTTGTTTAAAAACAATTATTTTGTGCAGCAGCTCTAAAAACAAAAAAATCAGCTTGATTGATGAAAATACACAAA